TTTTTGAATAATTTTTAAATTTTGGATTGATGTAAAGATTCGATGTAAAGCAAATTCTCTTTTTATGTTGCTTTTTTGTTTGTTTTGGTACTGCTAGAGTCACTTTGTTTATGTCGGTTTGTTTCTTTGTTCAGTGATTTTGATGGGGAAGGGGGGGGGGGGGTTACCCGAATATGGGTCTGTCCATCCCCGTTTTAGAGTGAAAGTCGTATCGATTGAATTCAAGTGCCTGAATTCGCAAGACTATTAAGGTATCCAATTTTCCTAGGCTACCTTAATTTTATCATGATATCACAATGTTTGCATTAGAAAACATGCATGTAAGTTCACTCTCTCAAATGAATATGGGTAAAACAATGATGACTGAAATACCCCAAAATGAAGAAGAAAAAAATCCCTTCCGAGAAAAAACATGTAGGTTCAAGAGCAATGTCAATACTGCATAGCTAATAGAAAGCATGTCCGGGTTATTTCATAGGCAGGAGCAGAAGAAAAAGCCTCATGAATTGGCTGTAAGTTGATTAGCTGAAAGATATTGAAAACGTGTCATTAAAACAAGACATCTTCTTTATAAAAGTGATACAAAAAAAGATTATTATTGCCAACACACTTTTTATTTTGCCTCAGGGAATGATCTATGCCAGTGCACCTAAATATATTTGTTTGAATAATCTATTAATCAGACGTTGATCTTCTACAAGCTTAAATCAATTTAATGTCAAAAATGTGAATATACAAAATGAACTGAAACTGGTTGTTCTACTGAGTAATGATGACAATAACAATGTCGACTAGGTGCTTTTATTATTCATTTCGAATATTTGCTATTATGAATACTACTACTACTGCTACTACTCCTACTACTACTACTACTACTACTACTACTACTACTACTACTACTACTACTACTACTTCTTCTTCTACTACTACTACTACTACTACTACTACTACTACTACTACTACTTCTTCTACTACTACTAATACTACTACTACTACTACTACTTCTTCTACTACTACTACTATGTATACTACTGTTACTACTAATACCACTACGTAGTGGTGGTAGTAGTAGTAGTAGTAGCTACTACGACTTCTAACTACTATACTGTTACCACCACCACCACCACCACTACTACTACTACTACTACTACTACTACTACTACTACTACCGTGCTTCTACAACAACAGCAACTACTAATACTACTAGTGATGCTGCTACTGCTACTAATACTACTACTACTACTACTACTACTACTACTACTACTACTACTACTACTACTACTACTACTACTACTACAACTACTACTACTACTTCTAACTACTACTACTTTTAATGTTACTACTACTAATACTAATACTTCTACTACTAATTCTACTTCTATATCAATTACTACTACTTCTACTACTGGTAGTGATCGGACTACTATTACTATTTCTATTATTACTATACAAATGCAATTATAACTATATTGCAAGTACAGGTTTGTACTAATACTACAACTTACTTGTAGCCAATACAACTATACAACAGCTACTACAGCTACTACTACTACTCCTACTACTACTACTACTACTACTACTACTACTACTACTACTACTACTACTATATAATATGTCTACTAATACTACTGTTGCTGCTACTACTAAAAATACTACTTATTACTATTATACAAGTAATACTTCTACTTTATGTTCCCGATCATTTCTTATTCCAAACAAAACTTAGGTAGTTTACGAGAAACCCCCCCCCCCCCACTAAAACACACATTTAGTTTTAACTATATTTCAAGTACTACTATCGCATACTAGAAGTAAAATCATTACTAATACAATTAAATACTACTACTACTAGAACTACAGGTACTACTAATAAAACTATATCTACTATATTACTACTACTACGATTACTACTCATATTTGGTTTTTGTGCGGTTAAGCGTCTAAACCCATACCCATTTTTAAGGGCCATCAATTTTTTGGCCAAAAATAGTACCCATTATTAGGGGTCAGAAAGTTGTACCCGGAAGTTGTAGTGGCATAGGCTAAGTTGTGATCCTTCGTTTATTGCTTACACAGAATTTTGTTTTGCGTACGCTCGAAGAGGGGGTGGGATTACACGTTTATTAACTATTCAGAAGTGGAGCTCAAAATAATGATATTGATACATAATGTGCGATTATCGGCAAGAACTTTGGATGAAAAAACGAAATGATTTCAATTTTTTACGTAGTGGTGGTAGTAGTAGTAGTAGTAGCTACTACGACTTCTAACTACTATACTGTTACCACCACCACCACCACTACTACTACTACTACTACTACTACTACTACTACTACTACTACTACTACTACCGTGCTTCTACAACAACAGCAACTACTAATACTACTAGTGATGCTGCTACTGCTACTACTACTACTACTACTACTACTACTACTACTACTACTACTACTACTTCTAACTACTACTACTTTTAATGTTACTACTACTAATACTAATACTTCTACTACTAATTCTACTTCTATATCAATTACTACTACTTCTACTACTGGTAGTGATCGGACTACTATTACTATTTCTATTATTACTATACAAATGCAATTATAACTATATTGCAAGTACAGGTTTGTACTAATACTACAACTTACTTGTAGCCAATACAACTATACAACAGCTACTACAGCTACTACTACTACTCCTACTACTACTACTACTACTACTACTACTATATAATATGTCTACTAATACTACTGTTGCTGCTACTACTAAAAATACTACTTATTACTATTATACAAGTAATACTTCTACTTTATGTTCCCGATCATTTCTTATTCCAAACAAAACTTAGGTAGTTTACGAAACCCCCCCCCCCCCCCCCACTAAAACACACATTTAGTTTTAACTATATTTCAAGTACTACTATCGCATACTAGAAGTAAAATCATTACTACTACAATTAAATACTACTACTACTAGAACTACAGGTACTACTAATAAAACTATATCTACTATATTACTACTACTACGATTACTACTCATATTTGGTTTTTGTGCGGTTAAGCGTCTAAACCCATACCCATTTTTAAGGGCCATCAATTTTTTGGCCAAAAATAGTACCCATTATTAGGGGTCAGAAAGTTGTACCCGGAAGTTGTAGTGGCATAGGCTAAGTTGTGATCCTTCGTTTATTGCTTACACAGAATTTTGTTTTGCGTACGCTCGAAGAGGGGGTGGGATTACACGTTTATTAACTATTCAGAAGTGGAGCTCAAAATAATGATATTGATACATAATGTGCGATTATCGGCAAGAACTTTGGATGAAAAAACGAAATGATTTCAATTATTTTTGGTGGGATTTTGCATCTGGAATTTTCACTTCAGCGAGATTATGGGTGAGATATTATCGTGTAGAAAAAAGGAACCCATGTTTAAAGATAAAGGCCAGTTATGGTCATGCGATTGCATTGTGAAAGAAACGTTGTGTAATCGATCAGAAAAGGTTGATCATCTAGCATATAAGTATTGGTGTGTACTGCAAGGTTCTTGAATCATCAAAATGATAAGAAATTTAGCCCAGTCTTCGTAAAGTTACAAGCACTGTACACAGAAAGATGTATATGGGACTACGCACACGTGCGCGACACGTGCGTTTATCTCTCACAGTCCAATAGATAAACTAATTTACCAAATATATCAATTAGTAGGTGGTTTCCCGGCAATTTTTTTTTATCTACATGTATTTAATAGTCAAAACATATTCTTTCACATGATTGGTAATAAGAGCTTCCATTTCATTTTTTGAAATTGGGGCGTTACCAATACTGGGGGGGGGGGGGGGGGGGGGGGGGTAGTGAGCATAATTTTTTTGGGGGCCCTCGAAAATTTGAAAAATCGCACTCCCCCCCCCTCCCCCCCCCCCCCCCCCCCCCCCCCCCCCCCCCCCCCCCCCCCCCCTTGAGCGCCATGGAAGGGGGCCCATCTCCAAAAAAGGTAAAATTTACGTGTTTTTACACGTTTTTTCCCCATGGGCCGGAACCGGCCCCATCCCCTAGATCCGCCACTATGACTGCCAGTGCCTTATAAGGACGTCACGAGTAGCAGTCCACTATGTCCCTATTATCATAAGTAGACAACCAAATGGTATTGTGATCGCTTTCTGTCAGGCGTCCTTAAACTTGTCACTATTTCAATTTCTTCTAAAAGAAGGCATGGCTGGATTTTAAATTAAACTTGGTATGAATCATCCTCAGGCACGGGAGATCTCAATTTGTTAAAATCGGCGATATGCCCCGATAGGGGGCTTGGGGCAATATCCCTCAAAATGCCCCTATGGCGATAATTAGACATTTTTATTCACACAAAAATCTTTAAAATTCATGTTGAGATAGGAAACATTACTCAGGAAGAGAGATATGAAATGGTTCGGAAGTGTTACTGACTCTTCCATGGGTAGGGGGTTTTGGAATAGCACTCCTAACAAAAATGTCCACTGGTTTACATTTTCTACCTCTTCTTGAAAGCCCATGGCTGGATTATATCCCATGTTTGTAGGAATCATCTGCAGGAAACGGAGATCTAAAGTTGTTCAAATGGGGTATATGCCCCCAAGGAGGCTTGGAGGCAGCCTTAAATATACACCATGCAAACAGCAATGCAAGCAACTAGTTACACCTACTATTACTACTACTATAACTTCTTCTCATACTACTTCTACTACTATAATTTTATTTTCCAGTCATTGCTTATGAGAAACAAAACATACCAGGTAGTTTAAAAAATAAAACAATGGATGCAATTCAGAGTGACTATTCTCTTTTTCTTGTCATTTATATAGCTACGCTTTTCAGCTGACATTTTCCCATAAATGTGTTATTGTATAAGACAAGTGTGGACTTTACCAATGCTATGTTTAATTAATTAATATAGCCCCCCCCCCCCCCCCCTCCATTATTCTTCCAGATCGTGGCTTGTTCCTGTGACCGAGTCAATTGATTCGCCAAGATGCCTGTATCACTAAGTGAATGGAGGGTCCGAATCGGAACATTTGTTCATTGGATTAAGGAGTATGAGGTTAAGGAGAGGAGAGAAAGATTGCTGAAAGAAAGGATTCGAAGACTAAAGGTTCTTTGCGAGAGACTTGAAGCGAAAATTGGTGATTCTGGAGAGGATTCCGAAGATGACAAAAGCAGACAAGATGACCCTGATTCTAAGGGATGTCCTCATAAAACTTCGAACATTCGGTCGTCAGGAAACTCATCAGATATCAAGAATTTACTGACTTCATGTGATCAGTGCATACAGGATTTATTAACGGCAAGTGATTCTCATATCAAGGAGATACTCACCCCTTCTGATACATGTATTAAACAATTGCTGACACCAAGGAGAGAAAGATTGCAAAGGATTCAGAGACTAAAGGTTCTTTGCGAGAGACTTGAAGCGAAAATGGGTGATTCTGGAGAGGAGTCCGAAGATGACAAAAGCAGACAAGATGACCCTAATCACAAGGGATGTCCTCATAAAACCTCAAACATTCGATCGTCAGGAAACTCATCAGATATCATGGTTTTACTAACTTCGTGTGATCAGTGCATACATGATTTATTAACGGCAAGTGATTCTCATATCAAGGAGAAACTTGGCCCTTCTGATACATGTATTAAACAATTGCTGACACCAAATGATTCAAACATTAGACATCTGCTCTCTGTAACAAACTCTTGTAGAAAGGACCAACATATTGCATGTGACTCTCACATTGAAGATCTTACCATGCTTACACCGAACTTTTCAAACATCAGGGAGTTAATTATACATTCTGATGCTTGTAAAGATGATATTCTATCTGATTCTGACATCAAAGAGTTACTTACACCACGAGACTCCGTCATCATTGAAATACTGCAGCCAAAATACTATTGCACCAACAGGTTACTTACACCAAGAGATTCTTGCATCCAGGAGTTACTAATACCTAGAGATTCTTGCACCCGGAAGTTACTTACACCTAGAAATTCCTACATACAAGAGTTACTTACACCTAGAGATTCTTGCATCCAGGAGTTACTAACACCTAGAGATTCTTGCACCCAGGAATTACTTACACCTAGAGATTCCTACATCCAAGAGTTACTAACACCTAGAGATGCTTGCATCCAGGAGTTACTAACACCTAGAGATTCTTGCACCCAGGAGTTACTAACACCTAGAGATTCCTACATCCAGGAGTCACTTACACCTAGAGATTCCTACATCCAGAAGTCACTTACATTTAGAGATTCTCACATCCAAGAAACTTTTACTTCAAGAGATTCCTACACAAGTGAGTCACTTACACCGGGGGACTCCTACATCCATGAGTTATTCACACAAATAGATGCCCATACTATCGAGTTACTGACGCGAACAGATTCATACGCTAATGAGCTACCTACACCAGGAGACTCCTACATCCAGGAGTTACTAGCAAGAGATTCCTATACCAATGAGTCACTTACACAGAGACATTCCTTCACCAATACGTCACTTAATCCAGGAGACTCCTACATGTACATCCACGAGCTAATTACACCAAGAGATTCCTACACCAATAAACCACTTACACCAGGAGACTCCTACATCCAGGACTTACTTACACCTAGAGAATCTTACATCCGAGAGTTATTGACAACAAGAGATGTTCACACCAATTTGTCAATTGCACCAGGAGACTCCTACATCCAGGAGTTACTAACACCAAGAGATTCCTACACCAATGAGCCACCTAGACCAGGACATTCCTACACCAATACGTCACTTACTGGGGACAAACAAATTTCGGCTACATCTGGCTTAGACAGTGATGCCGTACAACATGGAAAGGTAAGCAGGCTTGCTGATCGTTTGTGTTTACTTTTTTTAAATATTCTTTTTTATTCTTATTGAACTGACATTGGGGAAAAACAATCAATGTGCAGATATATGTAAAAGTAAATCGAAATCATGACATTGTATGCACCTCAACAATTGCTCTATTTTATTTGGCCATGCAACGTTCATAATTAACCCATGCCCTGTACACTTTATTTTTCATATATAATTGGACCAATTGAAGTATCTTTTAATTTGCAGGAGATGGCAATCATATCATCAAGACCATCATGCCAAAAAACGGAAAGCTTGAAAGGAACAGTTGATGTGATGTTATCACAGCAGCCGTACCTGACTGAGTTACTGCTTGTTAAAGCTGGGGATGTGGAGCTCAACCCGGGTCCTCTTCACGGGTAATACAATTTAATCTAAATGAATTAGCACACACGATGTACACTCATGCATACAAATATGCAACCATATTATATATTTATATATGTATGTTTATTTACATACTAAAAAATATACAGTTCACAACATCATATAGGATTTAAAAAAGAGGAGCATGGTTTTAACTTCACAAGTGCTTTCGATTTTTTCTCATGATGTGAAGTGATGACGAGAATGAATCAAAAGCACTTGTGAAAATAAAAGAAAGCTCCTCCCGTGTGCATTCTATATGATTTTGTGAACTCTATGAGAACATATTTCAACACTCCCTCTTGTCGGAACTATTAATAGATGTATATAACTGGACTGGTATGCGTGTGCATGAGGTGAATATGTGCGCGTGAATATGAGCGTGTGTAAACGAGTTTGCTCTTCTGCCCAGGTGCCTTCAACCTACAAGCCTTTGGTTTCCATGTTGGCCTCTGCATGTGCAAACAGTCTTTTTCCTTGTCTTGTTTTGTTCAGGTGCTTTAAAAAAAAAAAAAGTGAATTAATCAATTTCTTGTAAATTATGGGATTTTTAAACGTATTTGTTCCTTCTTTATGGTCCAAGTCATGTTTTACATTAATTTATTGTAAGTTTGTTCAAACGGATTAACAACAATGTCCTGTACATGCCAACATGTAATGTCTTTTGGTTCTTTTTGTTTGGAAATGAAAGGAATTTGTTACCTCTTTTTCATGAGCAAAAAAAATGAAAGAGTTTATTTTTTTTGAAAACATTGCTTTTAATCTACTTATCATTCCTTTTCCCTCTTCTTCTTCTTCAGACCAATAGATAGTGTACTGCAGGAGATTGAACTCATACGGCTTGCTGAAGTAGTTCCAGGCGACTGCTACTATAAACTATGCAATGGTCTTGGTGTCAGCTCAGCGCTGAGCAAAAATGTACTGACCAAAAATCACTTGGACTTCAAAGAAGCTTTGATCGAATTGTTCAACGGATGGAAAGTCAAGCAGAGAGATGGCACCGATTGTAAAGCACTTCTTGGAGAAATTCTTCAAAATGCTGATATGGGTGCGCTTCAGACAAAATTATTGGAAGGTAACTTTGCCATTGTACTTGTAATGTCTTTTCTGTTACATGAATGTCGTCATTTCATGCGTAATCACAGAGGTACATGATAACGATAAACATTGTGATATCCATACAACGGACAGTGAGAAATAGATACGAAAGCGTGAATGATTTTATTCGCATAAAAAACACAATTTATGAAAAAAACGTATCAAGGAGAAGTATTATCAGCCGAGAAAATAATTGCTTAGGCGAGCAAATCTTATCCACTTAAAACTAACTACTTTCCTTTGTGTGCGATGCGAAGAAAAGTGAAAGGTTCAGAAGTCCTCCCATATTTGCTTATTATTTACACAATGTTCAGACTTACATGTTTGCACGACGCCCCCCCCCCCCCCCCCCGTCTCCACACTGCCAGAAAATTAAACTACTTTGAATATGGTATGTGGACATTTTTAAAACATTAATTAACAAAACATTAATCATTCTTTTATCTATGTAATTTATTTTCAATTCTTAAGGTGGATATCTTACATCTGGAACCTCACCGTCTGGTAAGTGTACATCCAAAATTTGACACGAAAGATCATATTCGTTCATAGGGGACTATCGTGTCTTAACAATATAAAATTATTAAAATAATTGCAGCTATACTGAATTTCAAAGTAGTTCCTGAACAAGGTACGCTCGGTTTAGATAAGTATTATACATTTCAATGTGAAAATTAGTTAAGATACTCTGTATTCTCGTTCTCTGTTCATATCAAGAATGAAATTAGGTTAGAGTAGACTTTCTCTTTAAAGTGGGCACTTTGTTTATATTACGGGACAAATATAAAATTTATTTTGTTGCGTTGTGTATCGGTTACTATTGAGAGCATCCATCACAGTTATGTAAGTCATGTATTTGTAATACATCTATACTGTTGGTCATAATGGTGGAATAATTTTTTTTACCCCAATTTATGGAACGATCTTGACAATGATTTATTCCTAATAGATGTAGATAATATAGTATACATTCTCAAATTGTATTGAAGAATAAATGAAGAATAAATATTTAAAAAAAAGAAGAAAGAAAATGCAAATGAATTACCAATAATTCATTGCATTTTCCCCCGATCCCCGACAGGACAAAATCCTCTGTGTGGCCATGCTTTGAACCATAGTGCATGGCCCTAGGGAGGATTATTTCCTGTTGGGGACCGGGGGAAAGTGCAATGAATTATTGATATTTTTTTTGCATTTTCTTACCCTAGCCCCCGCTGCGTACAGTCATGATTAAGTGGCTAAGCTATGGACTCGTTACTGTGAGGCCCCAGGATCAAAACCGTGTCGATCAGCTTTATCAATGACCTTTTGTGAGCATTGATCCCCATCACTGTCAGTTATGATTTAAGGACGTAGGTCCCCTAGTTGATTAGCATAGTAGCAAACACAGCTTTAGCAGTCACGCAAAACAAATACTCGCAAATTATTGTTCAATACAATCTGAGAATGTTTACTATTATTTAGATCTACTAGGAATAAATAATTTTCAAAATCGTTACATAAATTTGGGTAAAAATAATTACTCCACCTTTATGACCAACAGTGTACAACATACCGTCAAAGACTAATAGTAATTACATGTTCGACTAATATCATTTAATTTCCAATAAGTTGTGTTTCAGAATGTGCTGCAACTTCACCACCAAAATATATTAGTTGCCTTTCTAGACGCTTAGGCATTTAATATCTCTGTTCTTATTTGTAACATCTGTTGAAATAAATATTTTGTTGAATTGACATAATTGTTTTTAATCTCCATTCAGATCCGATTATGACTGAGGCACAGGTTCTCAAGTGTGGGGAAGACTTGATGACATTCTATCGCGAACAAATGTGCAAAATCAAACCTGACCCGCTTGATTTCAATATCATCCTTGAATTTGAGCATATTTACACGAACTTAACGCTGCTCAGGAACGAAATGGGAACAAGCAGAACCAAAATGCCACTGAATTACGCTGATCTTCTTACTACACAGATTAATGGGGTACTTCCTAAACGTCTTCTGGTTGAAGGTGAAGGTGGTGTTGGTAAAACGACCTTCTGTTCGAAGATCGCATGGGATTGGGTCAATGGATCTTCAGAGTTTCAGCGCTTCAGTTGGGTTCTGGTTATACCCCTGCGTACCGTTGTCAAGGGTCAGACGATTGGTGATATTATGAAAAACTATCTCTCCGATAGTAATGCTGTAAGCCCTAGACAGATCGATAATTATATATTGTCTCAACCTACAAAGGTACTTATTGTACTTGATGGACTCGATGAGTATGATGGGGATATCTCAGCCACATCAAGCTCAGATATTTCTCGGATTCTACAGTTGGAGAAATTCAAGGAATGCATAGTTCTGGTGACAACAAGACCGTGGAGGGCGGATAAGATCAAATCCAACGAATCATTGAGTAGGTCGTATGCTTTCATTGCAGTAGACGGATTTAGTCCTGAAAATGTCTCGAAATATATCAGCAAGTACTTCGTGAATGATGAAAAGGTGGGATCAGAACTGAGTCAGTTTATTGAAGTAAACGATGTAATCAAGGAGAACATGGCACCCTTCCCAATTTTCGTAGCAATGTTATGTCTCTTGTGGGCATATTGCGACAGTGAGAAACGAGAAGTGATACGCAGACTGAAGACATTTTCTCAATTATTTGAACAAATGATCATGTATCTAAGAGACCATTATGTATCAAAGGTCACTAAAGAATTACGTAAAGCACATCTGGACAAGGAAATTGAAAAAGCCAAGCTTTGTTTGCAAAGAATAGGATCGATTGCTTTCTCAGGACTCCTGAAAAAGAAGTTGGTCTTTAATGAGGAGGACTTCAGCTTGTGTACGGAAGCCATGGAGACATGTTGCAGAATTGGAGTTCTAAGTCAGGAAAATCGAAATGTATCCAGATGGAAAAGAAGTTTGACTGCTTCACAGCCTATAGCCACTAGTGTCTTTTTTCCTCACAAATTATTTCAAGAATATATTGCATCTGTTTATCTTGCCTCTCTTTATGACACGAATCGCGAAGAGTACAGTAGGTCGATGGGCGAAGTACTGGGGAAGAGCTCACAAGAATTCCGTTACCTCTTGTATTTCACCGCTGCCCTGGGAAAGGAGGTGGGACTTGATATTGTCAAGAAAATTCAACTAAATACAACCAATTTAGCCAGAACCGTATATGATGACTCTGGTTACGCACATCCAAAAGGACATGACATGAATTTTCTTGTAGACATCACTTTTGAAGCGTACAACAAAGACACGGCGAAAGCAGTAGGACAGGGAATATTTGCAAACGAGAGAATACTAACTATCGATAAAGGCATGCCTGCTCACACAACTTCTGGTTATTTATTCATCATGGAACAGCATGGAATGGTTTGTTATAGTTGTATTTATATGCCGCATACAAATATTCTAAGCCTATGATTGGTTAAAATTGCTGGGCGTTAAACAGAAAAATATTGACCTGGTACATGCAGTTTCTACTTGTGTATGAACAAAATTCAACAATGAATACGCGCAGTAAGAAATGCATGTACATTTCCCTACAAATAAATACATTTTGACATGCCTATTTTGTTAAAATACATATATCCTTTTTTGAAAATTGACACGAGGGATGCGGTATATATATATATGTATACAAAATAAATCCTTTTTTTCCGGGGGGGGGGGGTCATGCTTATAATCTATTGCTCCTCTGTCATCTCTTGACTGCACTTTGCCCACGTGACCTCGTCTTGGCCAACGTATCTTTTCGAGACCACCTTTAGTCCAGAATCTCGCCGATTCAATTTTGATCTCCACCACACCAATACAATGCGACCTTCACTTACTTTCTTACTGTAAGCCAAAGATGGCATGATCCTTGAATGAGGACTCCGGCGAAACAATCGTAGGCTGGGCTTAGGGCCGAACGAACGAGTTTGTCTAAAACGCCATCTTTGGCTACTTGAAGCAAGAGTAGGGAACATAGACTTATAATTATTATAAAGAACCTGCCAGATTCTAGACTAGATCACCTTATGCACTAATTATAATCATGTCCCTCAAAGCAATCAACATGTGTATATTATTGATTATCGGTGTCTTTAATTACCTATAAAAGTATGTGTATCTAGAACACTGTGTAGCCGGTGTACAAACCACTATTACAACAATTTGCAGTAAGTGAAAGATAAGAGATGCTCTATTCAACGAGGCGCAGCCGAGTTGAATGAAGCGTGTCATCTTTCACCGAATTGCAAAATATTGTTCCATTGCACGAATAACGACCATTCACTATTTGCTTAATACAACACCTCGGACATTAACAAGATTAAAACAATTTTTTTAAAGACAAGTTGCACTAATCCTAAATCTCAACGATTTTGTTTGGTTTTTATTGATGAAATTGCCGATAGTGAGCGCGCACTATTATTAAGCAGGCAGCAAACCATGCGCGTACCATGCTTATTGTATATTTTTACGTTTCATATTTTCGTTTCATCCGTTCGCACCATTGCACGGTGACGTCACCTATCTCACAATATACTTTGTACATCGTTAGTGACGTCAGCGTGCAATGGTGCGAAAGGATCAAACAGAATTGCACTGCTGGAGAATGATGCCGTTCATCACTACTACTTTTGATCAGGAATTGACCAATGAGGTTGCAAGAATCTAAGTAGGCGTTGTATATATCATTGTTCTTCATCAGTTATTAGGGACTTTTATATTGAGTGTACGAGAACACGACGAACGCCGACTGATCATGCGTGTCAACGTACTCAACTGCCCATGTTGACAACAATTAAAAATCTTTTAGACTGCACTCGACGATATACATGCATGCAGGAAATAACGTTATGAACATGACGGACAAAGAAAGAGGACAAAATATACAGTTCCTCATTCTACCCTCAACAAAAGACTACTTTCGTAATGTAACCACATTTAATGCACAAGTCTTTGTAAAGTGCCTCAATACAAATTATTTCATTCACCTGATAAGAATAAAAGTAATTCAATAGTCAGAATGCAAATTGCATATATCAAATGTTGCTAGGTAGGTCAAGCCATAATATTTGTCCAACCTGGCAACAACTAATGTATGCAGTTTTGATTATGTCTATTGAAATACTATTGTTCTTACCAGGTGAATGAAATAATTTGTATTGAGGCACTTCACAAAGACGTATGCATTAAATTTGGTTACATTACGAAAATGGCCTATTGCTGTGGTAGAGCATCCCTTCACTGCTATTATGTAAAAATGTGTAGAACAGGTAAATATGCATGTGACACCTGTTCTACACATTTTTACATAATAGCAGGGAAGGGTATTCCTTTGTCCACCTGAGGAACTGTATATTTTATGCGCACGCGGCATGTAGTACCGTACTAGATTTAGGAAAATCAAGGTTAAAACATTCTCGATCGCCGACTGAGACGACGTGACGCACGCGCGCAGTGCCTTAAATGACGTCACACGTTGCAGTCAAAGATGTCGACGTGCAAATCTAAAAGTCCCTATTGATTGTTGTAAGGGAACCGTTGCTTTCATAATTTAAGACACTGTACCCTTTCCCGCGCTTGGTCCTGAAAGGGAATACCCAGGTATGTCCATACTGGCACACACCAATTTCTATGCCTCCGCTACGGCATTATATTTTCTGATTGTCCGTCCATCCGTAAGAACCGATTGATGGATTAGCGCCAAACTCGGGACATGTACGCATGGGCGTCAATCCTTACGTAATACCTATTGTTCAGGGGGGGGGGATGCTCTATTCGTTCACCCCCCCCCCCCTGAACAATAGGTATTCCGTAAGGATTGACGCCCATGCATGTACGCATCTTGCAGAGCCAATGAACTGATTAGATGTTAGGGTCATGAGGTCAAAGTTCAAAGGGTCATACATGTATATGAAAAAGATTTTTTAATCACGATATTCTGAGAACCTGTCAATGGATTACAATCAAACTTGAATTTGTTAAATTGCTTCTGTTTTGGTTTGTAAAATCGCTCTATGGCAGAGGCATCATTTTCTATTTCGTGCAGTCGATCATTCACCTAGTTGTATTTTGTTGCAAGTAACGTTATTAATAATGTGCTTCTTTGAAAAGGTGATGTAATTTTCTATAGAAGCATTACAATAACATTAACTTGGTAGATGAATTCTAACTATAGCCTGGAGAGAGAACTATAAAACAAGTTCTGACAATTCAAATAATGGTTTCATGTATGTATGTACATATATATATATATATATATATATATATGTGTGTGTGTGTGTATAAATATACACACGCTACATTGTATATATATATACCCAGGCTTGTATAACACGTCAGGATCATTTTAGCAAAATATGAATTTTATTAGGCAACTAGATATTGGCGCTTGATAAATTCCTGGATTGGATTGGATTGGATCGTAATTATGAAGTGTTTATGTCTATTTCAGGAGACTTTGGTATTCAGAGACAGATCATTTGGCCCGACAGTATCACGTGACCTAGCAGACGTCATATTGACATCAAACTCATTATCAAGATTAGAGTTTAATTGTACAACATTGGATGAGGACTTTTATCACCTAATGTATACACAAGTTTCTACAGTGGCGGTAAATATTATTACAAATTATTACAATTCGTCTTTATCAGACATTGTAAAGTGTAAGTTATATGTATATTATTTGTTCAAAAACGTTACCCTAGGACGATTTTTAGAGGGGGGAGGCAACTAACTAGATTTTCAACAATTTCTTTTTTTGGCTCCAAAAAGATGTATGAGTCAATAAATTATATTCTATTATATTCTAAGAAAACATGCATACTTTATCCATTATTGTCTTCATTGCTTATAAGGCCTGACATACGTACCAATATTGAAGGAGGAATTTCATGCTTTCGGAGGAGGAAAGTCCCCCGTCGGATGTAAACCATTCGCAGTGATAGTATGGTCGAGGTAATTATCCACCTTGTCCTTGGGAAACGCACATTTCTCCTTCTTCAAGCGTAATCCTGCTATGTGAAAAACGTCCAAGGCCTGCTTCAGGCTCTCCGTTGACTCTCGCGTGATGCAGGTCATCTAGGTAGACTGCCACGCCTGGAATGCCAGCCAGCAATATGATTCCATAGTCCGCTATAACACTGAGGGTGCCGTCAATACGCCAGATGACAATCGCTTGCAGCAAAAAAAGTCCTCTGTGGGTATTGATGGTCACCAACTCCCTCGATTTCTCAGACAGGACCAATTGTTGATATGTATGCGGGAGGTCCAGTTTTGAGAATTGCTTCCCATTTGCAACCTTGCAAACAGCTCCTCTACTTGAGTAAGTGTTGGAACTTGTGGCTGAATTTATCAAGGTTTTGTAGTCCCGACAAATGCGGATTGATCCGTCTTCATTTACTACAGGAACTATTGGAGCCACCCAGTTCTTTTGATCAAGCCTTTTTCGAAGTTGGAATGACACTGCATGGTCGGGCCTTTAAGAATCTCGGCGAAGCTCCTTCGTCGATATCCAGGGCTTCCACACCTTTCAACTTCCCGAGTTCTGGTGCGAACAACTCCTTGTAATATGCGAACAAACTCGAGACTATATTGTCGACTCTGACCAAGTTGATTTCTTTCCAGTTCAACTTAATGACGTATAGCCAATCTCATCCCATGAGATTTGGCCCGACCATCTCGCCACGATTAGATTCAAGCGTTCCATATGGTTTCCATAGCAAACAGGGACTTTACATTCCCCAATAATATCAACTAAATGTTTGGTGTAAGAGCGTAGTGCAAAGATTCAAGGTCGTGCTAGAAAGCCCGAAGAATCAATTTCGACTTATATACCGTAAATCTCCGTGTATAAGGCGCACTTTTTTGCCACCGAAAAAAATTAAAGTCGGGGGTGCGTCTTTTACACCGGTACACCAAAAAAAAAAAAAAACACACAAATCGGCGCCTCCAACTGCACCTCGATGTTAAATGAAAGTCTTTCCCCGTGCATGTTTTCGTTTCAGCAAAAAAGAAAACCATAAGTTTGGCGACGAGGATAAACTTAGTGTTTTATTCTACTGTCTGGAAAAGCTCTGGTACCCAGGATTGGCTACTTTCGGAACAATTAGTGAATTTCGGGAGGATGAAGGGAGTTGGTCCTAGTACATTGTACGTATGGGGCACTACTTCATCAAAAACGGATGTTTCCATATCCATGCTTGATTCATGCAATTCTTCATTTCCTAAATTTTCACCAGTATCAGAGGATACTGTCAGAGTTATAATAATGAAATCTCCATCAACTTCATGTAGTCTCGATCCAATGCCGACATGGCTGCTGCTTAAGAAATGTTTAGATGAGCTTTTACCAGTCATTACCAAAATTATTAAGATGTCTACCGTATTCAAAGTGGTCAATTTCCCGATGTTTTGAAATCGGCACAAAGCACTGCTCTTTTGAAGAAACCAAATTTGGATTGTGAAATTTTGAAAAAAACTATCGGCCTGTTGCAAAGCTTAAATTTTTTGCTAAAACAATTGAACGTGCTTGTGCTTCTCAAATTCAGGGCTATCTATCATCAAAAAATCTGTGTAGTCAAATGCAATCTGCTTATAGATCTTGTCATAGCGTTGAAACTGCTCTTTTACGTGTATATAATGATTGTCGTTAGCTGTGGACCAAGGTGATGAAGCTGTTTTAATAATTTTAGACTATTCTGCGGCTTTCGATACTATCAGTCATGATGTTTTTCTTGATCGCTTACGTAATATATATGGTGTATCAGGTACTACCTTGAATTGGTTTAAAACATATTTTATGAATCGTTCTCAATCTATTGTCATTATGTGATGACTCTTTATCCAAACCTCATGAACCACTTGAAGGTGTTCCTCAGGGATCCGTCATCGGCCCTTTATCATTTACTCTGTACACTGCACTACATGAAGATATTATTGAACGCATGGTTTAGGCCGAATGATATATGCAGATGACACCCAAGTTTATGTTGTTTTGAAACGTGATTCCGACCATTCTGTTATTACTAAACTTGAAAGATGTATAAATGATATCAAAGCTTGGTCCACTGCTAATGATTTGAAGTTAAATGAGGATAAAAACTGAGGTTATACAGTCATGTTACATCTCGATTCAGAAAGACCTCCCATTTACCATCTGTCGAAATTGCTAATGTTCCGATTCAACCTGTCAAAAGTGCACGTAACCTTGGTGTCATCTTTGAAAATGATCTTAGGATGGATGATTATATAAAAAATATTTGTCGCTCAGCTTCATATGCTTTGTACAAGATGAATCGTATTATAAATTGTCTTGATAAAAAATGTACCGAAATGCTTATACATGCATCTATTACATGCCGTCTTGATCAATGCAATAGCATTCTTTATGGCCTTCCGGACTCGCACATTGCAAAACTCCAGAAAATCCAAAACTCTGCTGCCAGGCTTGTAACACGCACACGTTTTTGTGAACACATCACTCCAGTACTTCGCAAATTGCATTGGTTGCCGGTGACGTACCGCATCATGTACAAAATCTTAGTTTTAACTTATAAATGCATTCATGAATTGGCACCAATTTATCTGCAAAAATTAATACAGGAAAACAAACCCTCACGCAATTTATGGTCATCTTCTCCAGTGGTGGATCCAGGGGGGGGGGGGCGCAAATTCGCTCAGTGGGGAGGGGGGGGGGGAGTGCGCACTAATTTGTTGTCTTTTTTTTCGTTCTCACTTTGATGTGTATTCCATTTTGTATTGTAATTTGTAGGTTTATTTGCACTTTTTTAGTTTTGTTTAATATGTAATTGTTTATCAGTGTATTTAGTGTGTTAAAGCGCTTAGAGACTTCAGTGGTAAGCGCTTTATAAGTAACGATTTTATTATTATTATTTACTTCGACGCCAACAGCATCGTGGATTAGGGAAGAAAGAGATCCATCTTACTTAGTGTATGTGGATCGAGCCTCAACCTAAAAGTTGATGTCCAGTCTGGCAACATCAAGAAAGCCTGGGGAAGTTGAATTTCAAGAACTTGTTAAATTAATGACTGTCACTGACCATCGGGATCCAAAGCCCCCCGTGATTGTGCAAAGGTTTAAGTTCAACAGTCGTGCTAGAAACCCGGAGGAATCAATTTCGACTTATATTACAGCTGATACTAGCTTGCGACGCGAATCCGTACGGCGTGAGAGCTCTCCTTGCACATAAGTTTGGCGACGAGGTAGCTTGCAAACTACGTCACAGAGTTGCCAATTTGTGTTTGATATTGATCCCAACTTCAAAATTCATAACTTTCTTATTCTCCCCTCGCCGACGAAGTGGTAATGCTTCCTTCCGTCCGTTCGTAACAAATCTGGTTTCCGTTCGATACGTTTAGTAATGTTTGACGGATTTTAATGAAATTTGATGTGAAGAGGTTGATGGTATCAAAATACAGCCTAAGTTCGATTTCGGAGTATGTAGGTTAAAGGTCATAGCTAATTAATATGCGTAAAATTCCTGAATATATATGCGAAAATGTGGTTTTCATTTAATAACATAAGTAATGTTGTTAAGTTTGTACGTCAAAGGTCAAAGCTCATTAAATATGCAAAAATTGCTAAATATAGGCCATTTGTACTCGGCGAGGAGATGCTACGCTTTGGCTTTAATCAGAATTTGCCTAAACTTTCAATGGCCCGTTTCTCTCATTTTTCTGCCTATATTAAAACCGATAACTTAAATATCAGGGTGGACTTCCCCTTTGAAAAAAATTGACCCCCAAATGTCCGTTCCCATGTAAGTAATGTTTTAAGTTTGTACGTCAAAGGTCACAGCTCATTAAATATGCAAACATTGCTAAATGTAGCCGGCCATTTGAACCCGGCGAGGGAATGCTAGGCTTTGCCTTTAATCGGAATTTGCCCAAACTTTCAATGGCCTGTTTCTCTCATTTTTTTTGCCTGTATTTAAACCAGCTTTAATATCAGGGTGGACTTCCTCTTTGAAAAAATCGACCCCAAAATGTTTGCAGTCCCATTTTTACCCAATAGGGTTTTTAAAATAAATATCATAAAATGGTGACTACTCGGGGTAAAAACAGGAAGAGCATTTAAGAGTATGTTTTCTTTGAGCAACTATGATAAAAACACAACTGAAATGGGCCGTAAGATATCTACATTTTTTTGGGGAAAACAGATCTGCTTCATCAAGAAAAAATTGTGTTTAGAATTCTTTTTCCTTTTCATTATAATGGGAATAACTGTCTGTATGGCATTATAAAACATGACTATAATTTGTTAAGGTGGAAAATGTACAAATCATAACTTGAGTCTAATATTATACGAAAAGATTTAATATTGATACTACTCTACTTCATTGTCATTTTGCACACAGGGAGGTAAATCCTCAATCAAAGAGCTGGGTGTAGATAATCAATTCTTCAATGGTCTACAGAGGTTTAATAATGGTGACATTAATGTGACCGTTAGGGACCTATTCCCGAGCTTGACACAATTGACTTTTACCACTGTCCATAATACTGTCTCAGCGGGAGATGTTGAACTGTTGGCACATTCCAGCCTAGCAGTGTTGTCTATTGAGCGTGGTGAGAAAGGCAGATATCTAGTTCCTCTCATTGGAGAACCTACTTCACTTGGGCAACTTTTCTCCAGTTCGTTCCCCCAACTCACCTGTCTGACCTTCCGAGAGCTGGTAATGGGCAACATACGCAGTGAAGCAATACTATGTCATCTAAAGAACCACCTGCATTTGAAATCAATAAGGTATGTTCAGGGCCATATTTGCAGAAATCTCACTATTTCCAATGATAATAATGAATATAATAGTAATAATAATTTTAATAATAATAACAATGATTATGATAATGATGTTAACAATGATGATGATAATGATAATAATAAACATGATAATATGACTTAAACGATGGTCAACACTTGAATGAGCATGCATGGGCATGAATATATAAATAAGGTACATTAATTTTATTTTGATAGTAAAGACTATTCGACCAATTTCTGAACTGCTTGAAACTAAAAAAAAAAAAAAAAAAAAAAAAAATCATTATTAAAGCCCCATTGTCCTACTTGTAGCTACTTGCTCCCTCTACAGTGCGTCCCAGAAAAAACGAAACCGAGAACTATCGATGTTTTATCATAGCTTAATCACAATTATAATTAATAAATGACACATATTTAGAAAGCTTAGATCCTCCTCTTTCATTTGATGCAACTCATATGATGCATATGTCACGCATGAGGGATTAAACGCAATTCGAAGAGAGGAAACAAAAAAGTCATTTGGCGGGCGGTATCTGAATTTCAAGGAGAAAATCACATTTCTAGAAAGTTCAATTTCTGCCCTTTCATATGACACCTCAATCAGGAAAAATGAACCAGGAATAACAAAGTTCTGTGTGTTTAAAAAAATGCTTGCATTTCCATAATTTGATCAAACGAGTTCGTTTTCACTGGCTGCCTGCCGTAGCAACAAACAATGTTGACAAAAGACTTAACTCCGTTTTGTTGAAGATCAGCCATGCATCAGGTCTTTCATCTTCTCTGCGCATGGCTGATCGTCAACGAAAGAGGAGGATCTAAGCTTTTCAAATATGTGTCATTTATCAATTATAATTGTGATTAAGTTATGATAAAACATCGATGATTCTTGGTTTCGTTTTTTTCTGAGACGCACTGTGTATAGACAACTTCCCCAATCGGTGCCTGTTGGTCCCCCCCCCCCCCCCCCACTCAGTGTTATTTAGGGTACGCATATGCGTGTTCCAAGCGACCCCCCCCCCCTTTTCAGCAAAAGTCCGGTGTGTAAAGTCAATACGGGTCGACCTTTTTCTTTTGTTATACGAGCCTTTTTGAGCACCCCCCCCCCCCCTTTTCAGCAATAGTCCGGTGTTTAAAGTCAATACGGGTCGACCTTTTTCTTTTGTTACTAAAGGACATTGTGGTAACACGCATGGGGTCCGTCCGTTCTAGGAGTGGGGGGGGGGGGCGGGGTTGGTCCCCATGATCCTTTTTTCCCCTTATGTTAGTTGAGAGCTGAGTTGATGAGATAGCCACCTGTCAGTGACCTGGCTGGGTGGTCTAATCCCTTCTGGCCCAGTAGTGTTGACGGTCTTTAAAGAAAATATTAAAAAAAAACCTCAGTAGTTGGTATTCAGCCTGTTTGGAAGGAATCCTATTATAATTTTCTAATATATTATACCACATACATGTAGTATTATATTCTTTAATTCCTTTAAACATTCAGTGAAACAAAATGTTGAAATATGTACTTTACTTTCATGAACATATTTTTTGTACAGTATCATTAGCTGTTTTACTGATGACGAACTGGACCCCATGGCTGAACAAATAACTGCTGAGAACAGGATGAAAATAACACTTCAACATGATACGGTAAATGTTCTTATCATATTTACTATGTTAGTTCTAAAGAAATTTTTAAAGTGAAAATATGATACTTAAAAAGAAGTTCACCCTGGTGTCCTGTTGGTTTTGATAAGAGCAGGAAATTGAGACAAACAAATAAGTGAATGTTTGTGCAAAATCTGATAGAAAAATTATATTATTATTGGTTATTTTGATATGTATAATCAGCCAAACACACATCGACAATGCCATTGATGTTCTTGCGAGGTCCTCTCGTAATTCGCTCTGTACTAAACAAATATATTTTCTGTAAAGAAATATCACACGTGTCCCCTACATATAATAATTGCACATATGTTTCTATACAAAGCCTGTATGAAAAGAAATTCTTTCATCAGCAGCTAAGGAAGCACATCAAGTATACATGTATAAAATATCAAGTATACATTCATATCCGATTCAAAATACAAATTTAAAAGCATATACATTGTCAGACATCTGCATTCATTTGGCCAGCCTCAAAGATGTTCACGCATATTGACAAATCTTTCATTGTCAAAAGCCGAATTAATTGGAAGCAAGCTTAAATATAAATTGTATGGTTAGCATCTCGTGGAAATCCCATAAAATATTGCCCTACTTCAATTACCATATACAACATGCTCTGTTGTATTAGGGAATATGTCCAAAATATTGCCAATACCCTAGTTCTTTGTCCTTACTATGCGAGTGATGTTATGGTAGCTCATCGGTGTTTTTTTAAATTGATAAACCAGCATCAATTCTCTTCAACAGGCACAGAGGAGGTTATCTTTTGACAGAAGTAATGGACCATTAAACATAAATATGATAGATGCACTTTGCCATAGAACATGTGTCCGTCAGTTGAATGTGGATAAGTATGGCGTAGAGATTGCAGGTGAAGTATGCTTTCCAGGCCTTCATGGCCGAGAGGTGGATTCAAAGGTTAGTGAAGCAGCGAAGCAGCTTTCTTACATGTTTACCCCCCCCCCCCCCCTCTCTCCCTCTCTTTCTCGGTTTTCATCTCTTCCTTGACCATAAGTGTTCCTTTCCTTGCTTACCTTCTTCTCCCATTTCCTTTTAGTTTCTAAATTCTCTCTCCTCTGTGCTCTCTTTATAATTAGATGTCCTTTAACCCTTCCTGTACTGGGCTATTTTGAGCACCTCACTGACTGGGGGTGGGGGGCTGGGAGCCCCCCCCCCTACCCCTATGATCTCGGCCGTCGAATTTCCGATGAACACGAAAATGTGCATGTTTGTAGATTTTTACGTTTTGAAATGATAGTATATAATTATTTTTTTCCTAATATGCGAATTTTTGTCGTTATAGTCTAGTTAATTATGCAAAATGCTAATTTCATGAATTTTACAGAAAAACTCTACACATTTGTCTGTAGACTTGTGAAGAATCTTGAAAATGTATTGAATAAATGTTTCCTCTATCTCAAATTTATGAGGTTTCATTTTATTTTTATTTTTTGAAAATGCATAGATTAATTTGCATAAATTATGAATACACAAATTAAGCATTTATGAATATCAAATCTGGAAAAATACAGAGAACTAAATTATTACAAAATTGTCAGACTCCACTTTTTAAATGTTGAAACTCATTTTTCATATGAAACTTCCTTTCTAACACAAAATAGTTATTTGTATGTAATTAATAAAAGATAATTTATGCCAATCTTTTGCGATTTTTACATATTTGGGCTTATTTGAGCTTTAGTGATATTTTTGTTGCTTTTGTTGGTGTTGAAAGTATGTTTGGCACTGGGAGCTTAGCCATAACAATCATTTCACCCACTTTCTCACTGTAGAATAATCTTTCTCCACTACCCATCTGCACACTACTACTCATAGTCATTAGAAACCTGGGCAAGACTGGCTTTATTTGTAACTACCATTGCATACACTCTTACACCACTGTCAGTTTTTGTCACACACAAAATCAAAGCTTATTGAATAATTCATTAAGAAAGGATATCAGAGACATTGTTAACATCTTTTAGTCATTAATTCTTTATTGTATCCTCCGGCAGCCAGTGGGGTACTTTGGATTCAGCAGCGTTACACCGCCGCGTCATTTTCTTGTGTGCCTTCTAACTGCCACATTCTTTGACGGATTTCTATCAAATGTTGTATGGAGGTGTATCGCGGTATAATCTCAACACCTATACTTTTTGGTGATGCTGCCCCCAGTGTTCCGTCTTCTATAGGGTAAAAGGCCATATTTTTGTGGATGGTTTGTGTGCGCACTATAGGCCACATTTCTCAAGGAATTTCGTTTAAATTTGAAACGAAGGTGTATCTTGGTATATTCTACAACCCTATAGATGTTGGTGATGCTGCCTCTAGTGTTCCGTCTTTTATAGGTTCAAAGGTCATATTCTGATAGGTGACTTGTGTGCACCTTAATGTGCAGTCTTACTGCATCATTCCTTAACGGATTTCTTTCACATTTTGTATAATCTACACATCTACATCTTTGGGTGATGCTGCCCCCAGTGTTCCGTCTTTTATAGGGTCAAAAGTTCATATTTTGGTGGGTGTATAGTGTGCGCTCTGCAGGTCATATTTCATGACGGATTTCTTTCAATTTTTTATAATTTTTGTTTCAATAGACAATTCGAAATGTATCTTAGTACAATCTACACTTTGGGCAATGCTGCCCTAATTGTTCCGTATTTTATATGGTCAAAGGTCATACATGTCATATATAGGTCATTCTGCGCCTAGAAACAATGTACAAGGCGCGTTATAAATGTGATCTATTATAGGTTTTCCCGCCCAATTTCATCAGAGTTGCATCCGATTTAACGATGCGATCATTCAATCTCGAGCGAATATGAATGATCACCGAGATCAACATTCAAAAAGCTAACTAATTTGATTGTAATAGCATGCAATTTCATGATTTTCTCACATAAACGTGTAAAAGCGCGTTAAAATTTAACAATGCACGTAAATGCATTCAAATTCGCACCTGCACCGCCCTGATGATCGTTAAGGTATTACATTTCACGAATAGGCAATCATTTATAGCATTTGGGCGGTAGTTTTTTTTTTTCACTGTTTATGTTCTTTGAAATCTTTATCTGTTTTATTAAATTATGCAAAATTTATGTACCTTGAAATGGGACCTTTGCCTTCTTATATTGAAACATCTCATTCCCCTGACAAACCGTCATTGAAGCAAGAGCTCGTATAACTCCAATTTCATACACATACATTTATTTGTACACTTTGACTAAGGCGGCAGCTCGAGGAGAGTACATAAATATTACGAATAGAAAGAAAATATATAAAACATGATTAAAGTAAACATGAAAATCTAAAAATGAAAATGAAATTATATAATTAAAAACAGTGAACAAAAACTAATATAACGTGAACAAATTACGGAAAGAATTACATAGAACTATATACAGAACTTGTTTATGTTAACTTAATTCGAATGTTCAAAGTGCGAAGGTGTGTGCCTATAAATCAAATTGAAATTGGTATTAAGGACGAAATTGAACGTCTACCCAGCTGGCGCGAAATTGAATGACAACTTCGAGGCATTAAATTAAATGGATTTCTCTCTAAATTGAATGAAATTAAAAAAAAAATGAGTGATAAAAAATGAAATTGAATGCTCAAGGTATGAAAATGAACCATGGGTGCAAAGAGTTGACGAAAATCGTTCGAACTTAAACGCCTATTCATGAATTCGAATGCAACTCTGATGAAATTGGGCGGGAAAACCTATACAGTGCGTCCCAGAAAGAAAAAAAACGAGAATCATCGATGTGTTATCATAACTTAATCACATTTATAACTAAAAATGACACATATTTGGAAAGCTTAGATCCTCCTCTTTCATTTGATGTAATTCATATGATGCATATGTCACGGATGAGTGATTCAAATCAATTTGAAGAGAGGAAACCGTAAAGTCATTTGGCGGGCGGTATCTGAATTTCAAAGGAAAAAAAAAATCAAATTTTTACAAAATTGGGTTTTTACCCTTTCATATGACACCTCAATCAGGAAAAATGAGCAAGGAACGACAAAGTTATGTTTGTTTAAAGTAGCCCTTACATTTTCATAATTTTAGCAAACAAATTCGTTTTCACTGGCTGCCTGCCGTAGCAAAATGCAGAATTGACAAAAGGCTTAACTCCGTTTCGTTGACAATCATTCATGCATGAAGTCTTTCATCTATGACTGATTGTCAACGAAACGGAGTTAAGTCTTTTGTTAATTTCGTTTGTTGATACGGCAGGCAGCCACTGAAAACGAATTCGTTAATAAAATTATGGAAAAGCAAGCACTACTTTAAACAAACAGAACTTTGTTATTCCGAGCTCATTTTTCCTGACTGAGGTGTCATATGAAAGGGCAGAAACTTAACTTTCTAGACATGTGATTTTCTCTTTGAAATTCAGATACCGTCCGCCAAATTATTTTTTGGTTTCCTCTCTTCAAATTCATTTGAATCACTCATGCGTGAAATATGCGTCATATAAGTGGCATCAAACGAAAGAAGAGGATCTAAGCTTTACAAATATGTGTCATTTATCAATTATAATTGTGATTAAGTTATGATAAAACATCGATAATTCTCGGTTTCGTTTTTTCTGGGACGCACTGTATATATATATATATATATATAGATAGATTTGTTTTCTTTTGCAACAGTCTCGCGCCACTCCGACTGACCTGCTTTAGTACACGTTTCAATGAGAAACCATTTTCAAGGGAAACACAAAATGTGGACTTTGGACACAGGTGGTCTGTACATTTTATATGGAAAATAAAACTAACTAACCAACCGATTAGTGAGCGTTTTGCTCATCAGATTTCTTTAACCCCCCCCCCCCCCCCGAACATGATATATATTTCGTATTTGTTAATAGGATTTAGAAATAAATTGGAATTTAATGGAATTTAATTGAATATTTGTATTTCCCCAGATTCACACGTTAACTATTGGACTCTTAAAATTACAAGATAACGAATCAGCATCCTGTTGTCTGGGGAAGTTTGTCAGCCTACTGCCTCATCTTGCAGACCTGAAGATCGACTTTTGTTTCCTTCATGATAATTTCTACAAAGAGATTGCTTATCGAGCTTCTTCATCTCAGGTAAAACAAAACTAATTAAGAAGCAGATCAAAATAGATGGGAAATGTTGTTTTGTTAAACTCTGAGGTTGTTAAGGTGTAATCGATAACCTGGATTACTATTACATTTCTCAGGCATGCCGATGTGTTACGTTTTTTACTTTGTTATGTTTTGTTTGTTTGGTTGGTTTGGGCCGGGGGGGGGGCTGTATGAAGTTTCACAAAGTAACGAACTGAGGGGTTTCCACTATCTTTTATCCCAATTCTCTGCTTCATGACTTGCTTGCTTTCGCCGCAATTCAATTGTATTTCTACAGATTCAAAAGTGAAGGATGAATACTGGAAATTATTATTATTACTCTTAAAAAAATAGGGGGGAAAAACAAAAGACTTTCTATCTTTATATACACGATGACCGATCAGTATCCTGCTGTCTGGAGGAGATACATTTTCTCCGAAACAGAGCTCTGATTTTTATATATCTTTCATTATGTGGGTATATAAAGTCAAACCTGTCTAGACTGACTGCCAAAGGGAAACACAAAAGGTGGTTTTTATAGACAGGTGGTAACGAAAGCAAGTTTTCTAGACTGTACTTTTTATATGGAAACTAAAACTAACCAACCAACCAATTGGTGAGCATTTTGCCCATCAGATTTCTTTCTTTCCCCCTCCATCCCTTTACTCTTCTCCAGCTGACTGAGCTTTTTATTGTTAATTATATTCTGTCGCGCCAGTCAGGGTGCGCCCATTCATCAAACCAATGTGGCTTTTACGGATGCACCTTTTTTTCATCCTAAACTCTTAGTAGATTTAATCATGTCTTCTTTTTCTTTAAATTTTTTTTTTGTTGTCTCCTTTCTTTGTCTTTACCTTTGTTGTTGAACACGATATATTTTAATGATTCTTATCATTTAGAAATACATTTGAATTAAATTAAATTGAATATTTGTATTTCCACAGATTCACAAGTTACATATCAAATCCCTGAAATTACATGATAACCGATCAGCATCCTGTTGTCTGGGGAAGTTTGTCAGTCTCCTGTCTCACTTGGCAGACCTGATGATTGACGGATGTGACTTTCATGATGATTTCTACAAAGAGATTGCTGATGGAGCTTCTTCATCTCCGGTAAAATGTATTTTTAAATAGAAGCAGATGAAAAGAGATGGGGAAATGTTTCTTTTTTAAAGGAATACAAATAAATTGGAGTAAATATAATATACTGAGCAATGAGAATAACACTTGGAAAAATGTCTGTACTTCAATTACCACTAGAGTTTTGAGGCCTATTTACGTGTTATATTTCTTACTTTTTTGTATATTTTTAGGAGGGGTGTACAAAGTGCCGGCCACTCAGTTAGAGACTGAAGGGTTTTCAATATCTTTCATCAAAATTTCCTACTTCATGATGCTTCATTAATTATGAAGGACCTTTGCTTCTTCCCCTTTCTCGAGTGATTGTGTGTGTGATTTCTTACTGTGTGTTTGGTGCGTGTTCCCTTATCGTGGTATTTTGATATAATTCCTTTACTCACTTATTATATTTTCTCATGTAAACTGACATGCAGTCTAAGGGAGCTGCACCCATTAGAAGCTTGTTGATGGCTTCCTTTTCTTTGTCTTTATCTTTGCTGTTGAACATGATATATATATATATATATCGTATTTGTTAATGATTTTTATGATTTAGAAATAAATTTTGAATTGAACTGAATTGAATTGAATTGAGTTTAAACTGAATTGTATTAGATTGTATTGAGTACTTTACACTTCAGGACTATTGGGAAGAATTTCACTTTCATCTTTGGTCTCGTCATCTAGAATTTCCTTCTTCCATAGGAAATCAGGACCAGTTAGCCCTCTAGAAGCTCCATCTGCAGGATTGTCTTTAGTAGCAATGTGGTGACGGTAGTGACTCATCTCGGATTTGTTTCTCTCGGTTGGCTACAGATATATGTGAAATCTTCTCATTTCGTTCTTGGTGTAGCCTAAAACCACTCTGCTATCTGATGATGGACATTACCGTATACAGGACTCCTCTTCTCATCTCGGATTTGTTTCTCTTGGTTGGCTACAAATATGTGGAACCTTCTCAGTTCGCTCTTGGTGTAGCCTAAAACCACTGTGCTATCTGACCAGAAGAAGTGGCTAACATTCTCAAGATTAAGTTCATTCTGCAGAATGGAGCTAACTTTCACTGAAACTATAGCTGCTGTCAACTCTAGTAGGGACACTGTAACCATCTTGAGATGAGCTACCCTGAATTTTCCCATCACTAGCGTGCAGTGTTCCTTGTCTTCTCGATCTGTTAGTCTCATATAGGTGCACAGTCCATAACCAACATTGCTAGCATCAGAGAATCAGAAAAGATGAAGCTGCATATTCTTGATTTCTCCAAAGTCCTTTGGTTTATAACATCTATCAATTGAGATTCTTCCGACTTAAATAATGTCAGTCTTCCACTTCTCCCATCCAGCTCGGAGTGCATCAGAAAGGGGATCATCCCATTCTGCTGTGACCTTACACAATTCTTGGAGAATCAGTTTTCCAGGAAGGATGATTGGTGCTAGTAGTCCTAAAGGGTCATACATTGACATTACCGTAGACAGGACTCCTCTTCTCATCAGTGCATGCTTGTCTTGAAAGGTTATTCGAAATTAAAATGAATCTGATTCAATACACCACTGGACTTTGAGTGCCTTCTCCACAGGTAGAGTGTCTTGTAAAAAATTCAACTCTTTCACATCCTTCCCTCTATCTTCAGCTGGAATTGCTTGCATCACCTTTCTGGAGTTGGACACAAGTTTCCAGGTGAAAACATCCGCGCTCACACATCTCCTTTGTTTTCGTGATAAGATCGATAGCTTCTTCTTATGTTGCAACTGTGTTCAAGCCATCATCGAAGTAGAAGTCATTTTAAATGAATTCAGATGCCTTTTGTGTAATAATGCAGCACCAACGAGATGCTCTTTCATCCTGTAGTCACTGGGATGTTGACTAAAATCTCCATTAGTCCACCATAGAAAATGGAAATAACCTCTGTGCTCCTTGTTTACGTGGAATTTGTGGAATATTTATTTCAGCTCAGACAAGAAATCTATTGCCTCTTTCCTAAATCGACAGATTCGCATTTCCACATATTCAGAAGTTTATGGTTATTGGCTTGGACGTAGTAAGACTTTCTCTATGATGACCAATCAGCATCCTGCTGTCTGGATGATATACTTTGTCTCCGGAATAGAGCAATCAATCTGTATTTTGAAAGCTGATTTGTATATATCTTTATGTTCATTGTATGTGTATATACATTTTGTATGGACAAATAAAAACAACCAACCAAAGTGAGCATTTTGCTAATCAGATATCCCCTCCCCCTTCCTCTCCCCTTAATAATCTTGGATCATCTGCTGTGATTAGGTTGTGTGATAGGAATACGAGACAGGCCTAGTACTAGTGAATTATTATCTAAATGGAATCGGATATGTTTTCAGTACTGTGCCTTAAACTAGCTGGTAACGCTGAATTTTGTTAATATATGCTTTCACCAGTTTGATTTCATAATTTATAGTTTCGTATGAAAGATTCCTGATTAACATGAGTTCTTTATAGTTTAATCAAAAGAAAAGAAAACATATCTTCTAAATCTGACCGAAAAATTCAGTTTACCAATTGAATTGCATGTTGTTGTGGAAGCAAGTATTTGTCGCTGCAACATACCATTTGTCATTTGGAATTATTTGACAATTATTTGAAAAAATCTCAACATAATTCTAGTGATTTCATTATCAGTGATGCATACAAGTGATATTGTGTATGCTAAATTTGCATGGCTAATGCCAATCAATTTTCTATCCCAACAGATCCAAACAGTCGACCTGCAAATCAATTACGTCTTTAACAAGCCAGCTCAGGTAAATAATTGGGCATGCAGGCAGCTAGCCAAGTTTCTCTGCTCTCTACCCTGCCTTACAACCTTAACGATGAGTGGGGATAATCATTTACGTGATGATTTTTTCACTGAACTAGAATCCTTGGCTGCATCCTCACAGGTAATAAGAAAAGTCAGTGCTCAGGCAGTAGAAACATTAATAGATGTAGAAGCACTTTTTGCTACTGTCAAGTATAACTAGCAAAGTAAAGGAGTTTTGAAAGCCACACTCGTCCATTTAGAGATTTCACCAAAAAACTTGGATTCAATCGGGCAAGAAATATAGGAGAAGAAACATTGGGTCTAAGAATCATTTTTTTTTAAATCCGTTAAGTAAAGTTTCTTCAGGAATTAAAGAATTATATATATATATTTTTGTTTTGTATGCCTTTTGTAAGGTGGTGATTAACTTGATGCATGGAGGCATCGCGTATGTTTTTTGACTTGTCCGTCGGTCCCGCCTTTCGTAACCATGATAACTTGAGAACATTACATTGGATTTAACCAAACTTGGATAGAGTATGAGCATGCAAAGATGAACTGATTTGATTGTGTGTAGAAGAGGTGAAATGTTAAAGGTCTCAGACTCAAAAAGGTGTGTAAAAGTACAGATAATATTGCATTACCGCGATGAGCAATGCAAGCTACGCTTGAATCAAGTATGTATGAGAATGCAAGAATGAAGTGATTATATTTTTAGTTAAGAGGTCAAAGATCACAGAGTCATGAGAGTTTTTTGAATTACCAGAAAATATATTTCGTCACTACAATAACGTGCAAAGCATTAATCAATTGAAACCAAACTTGGATGAAGTATGTATGAGTATGGAATGATGGATAGATTCAATTTCGACAGTAAGAGGGCAAAGGTTGAAAGGTCAGAAACAGACAGAAAGTCATAAATCTTTGCTAGAAAATGCGAGAAAAGCATTGAGACAATTCAAGATATAACCTGGACGAAGTATGTATTAACATACAACGATGAACTGAATAAATTTGGGGTCTAAGAGTTCATGAAGGTGAAATATCATAGGGTCTTGAAAGTGTTAAAAATCCCAAGATATCTTATTACTGTGATAATTTAACAAAAATTGAACCTATGTCGACCAAACTGGCCCATGCATGTTTTATGGGGGGGGGGGGGCTACACCATGAGGACAGAATATAATTTCTGAAAAAAATGCATTTGAACGCTTTATCTACCCCCTTGTATTCACTTTTGTGTTCACTTGTATGTATCTAATACAATTGTAATGGTATTGTTTACACACTCTACATGTACACTTGAATCCTTCTTCATATACGTACATGGATTTATAACAGCAAAAATAGTGGTTTCAAAGAAAAATAATGTGCATTTAAAGTGGAAATGGACGAGGTTGGCCGACTTTGTACGTTAGCGATCCCTTTTCTCATTTCCCCTCACTTTTACAGCTAATCATTTGTTTATTTTCTTTGTCCTCTAAAAATATGTGTACGGTTGTCATGTCAGAGTCTTTACTTCAGGGAAAAGAAACATATCAGCATGCTACAGAAGAGGCAAGCCAAAAAATGTAAAAGAACAACAACTCAACCAGTGTGAAAGTCCATGACTAGTACACACCAACAGCCATACCTCCCTCACTATGTTCACCTGCTGGAATCAGCACATCCTTTTCGACAGTTCCACAGTTATCCTCACAGAGGATTCCCATCAGAAGGGATACATCACTCATTACACCCGAGTTTGGGAGAAGCATCACGACAATCGGTAGGCCAGGGATCAGGATATTCATCTGGAGTACATGCTGGTTCTGATCTCACTTCGTTTCCCATTTCTTCAAGAACCTCGAACCTTGACATGCCTTCAACCAGTGGATCGAGATCTACACAACGTAGAATAGGTGCAGGTTTGTACACCAGAATTTAAATTCTTTGTATAACCCCTTATAGTCACCAATGACCAATACAATTGTTGAATGACACTACATTAACCACTCTCCACCCTGTGTTAAATGGGTACCCGACTTGATACAAACGTTAATGTGATTGAATCGATATGTGTATGCTTGAAACATGCCACCTTGCTGGAATACTCCTCATGGAGCAGAACTTGGGCCTAATCATGTGCAGATTATGACCGGGGAATGATAATTAAAAGTGTAGAGCTCTTCAAAGCGTAGTATTATGTGCTATAAGAATATGAATAGTGTTATTTCTTTATGTTATGGATCTTTGGCAA